TTCAGGGTCAGGTGCTTTAATTTTTGGCTCTTAAATATTTACATTAGGCAGAAATATCAGTAAAATTATCTGGAAAATTACAAATATTCTTTATATCATATGTGAGCCTATCTATGAAGCTATTGGTAGTTTTTTGCACCCAGTATGAATGGTAAAGTTCGTGCTTTCCATGGTTATGATGTAAATGCCTACAGTTTGTCAGATAAAGAAAGCCCTGAGTTTTATATGGGAGATATCCTTGCAAACAATATTTTTCAATGTTTTTACGTGTTGAAAACATGACATTTGTTATGGTTAGTGTCTGGATGTCCCCCCGCAAAGCCTCCTGCAGTTAGGAGCCTTCTAGAATTTATGATTGATCCATGCAGGCTTCTAGAGTTTATGATTGATCTATGGTCCAATGCTGGGATTATGGGTGTGAGTGCTACACCCACCCTGGGGCAGGTGGTTTGCATGCAGTGTAAGGGAGGGAAAAAAGCTTGCTCTTCCCGCTGCTCCTCCCATTTTGCTCTTGTTGTTTTTTGCTGTCTTCTACCGCTATGAACTTTTGCCCTCTGCCATGTGCCACTCTGCCTTGGAGCCAACCAGGTATGGACTGAAACTGCTACAAACTGTGAACTAAATAAACCTTTTCTTCCCTAGTTTTGAGCATCAGATGTTTTGTCTCAGCAATGAGAGAAAAGTAACCAACACATCATTTGTGGGATACCTTGATATATATAAATTATGCATATATATATAAATTATGCATAAATTATTCTTAATCCTTAGACTGTCCTTGACAGGTGAATGTTATTATTTCATAAATGAGATAAGTGTGGTTCAAAAAAAGTGAGTGTTACCAGTGCAAGAGGGTAATTGTTGGTGGCTAGGACTCATCTTCTGACATTTACCTGGGCTGTCTAGGCCAGACTGCAGCTAAACTCACTGTACAGCTTTTCTTTTGCAAGATTCTTAATATAATAAGTCACAAAAGAATTGCAGAGTCTGCATATGATGATGAGCTTGAACTCCTTAAAAATTTGATGTTTGCTTACATTTCTGAAGTACGCTATTTAAACAAACTATCAAAACATTGATGCGAGTGTTGAGATTTACCTGCATTGAAGAAAACAAGTATATCAGTTTGTGAGAAAGCTTAGGTTTTAAAGAGTGTTTGAGGCTCCCCATTATAGCACATACCTGTAATCTCAGCACTCTGGGAGACTGAGGTAAGGGCAATCCAAGTTTCAGCCCAAGCCAGCCCAGGGAACTTAGTAGCTTAACCAGACTCTGTCTCAAAAAAAGTTAGTACATGTTTGTAGTACCTGCTGTTTACAGGTGTGATGGACTGACAACTGGTGTTTAACAGGTAGCATCCAGCTGAACTGAATCAGCATGGTGCTGGATGTGGAGGGCCCACTTGAGGATTGTTCCCAGCAGCATAAAAAGGAGAACTGGAGAGGAATAAGTGGGGCTGTTGGTTCTCCTGGAAGAGCTTGTAATGCTCATTTCCTGATACGAACTCAGCTATTCTCATCGTTGGACGAGCTCAGGACCTTGTTGTCACTAAGAATGGCTGCAGTTCACTTTGAGGGAGCTCTGGTCCTTACTTTGAGCAGCACTTCCTGATTCTGGAGAGGAAGATGGTGCACTGTTCAGGGTCCTGAAGAAGCTTGTTGTGCTGGCGTTCCTGATATAGACTCTGCTGTTCTCTTCATTGGAGGAGTTTGGGAGCTCATTGTCACCCAGATGGCTGTAGTACTTTTCGGGGGAGTTCTAGTCCTTACTTTGAGCATCACTTTCTGGTTCCAGTGCAGGTCCTTCAGGTTTCTGGTATAGATCCTTCTCCCCCTGGTGCAGATTTTCGAGCTCCACCACTGACCTTTAGACCTTCCCAGTACAAACCCATGAAAGAGACTTGCATGGAACATTGTCATGGGCCCTTGGTCACCAGTTGAACTTGTCGGGGGCATTGTTATGGGCTCTAGGTCTTCAGCTAGATTCATGCAGAACATTGCCATGAGATCCAAGCCTTCAGCTGGATTCTTTTGGTCTCTAGTGTGTGGACAGTTTGCCCACACTCTTTGTATATGACTCTTTGGGTGACTATTGTAAAATAATATTATAAACTGTGTGTCCTGTATAGTATTGTTTCCCCTGAAAACCCTGACTACAAAAACAGGCCTCATGTGAAGTGGTTACACATACATAATACAACCTGTTTCTTTTGTAAATCCCCTTTCCTTACCCTTTCTCCCACTGTCTCCTCCTCTAATCAAAATAACACATTTTGAAAAGGGCACAGTGAGGGCCCTGTGTGTGTATGTGTGTATGTGTGTGTGTGATTACTGGGGAGGGTGTTATACAGTATTCAGATCATGAAAAGCCAGAGCAACTTGGAACTTAAGGAAGGCAGATAAACAAAATCTATATGTATCTAAATCTTTCAGAATTTGATGTCAAATACCTAGTCTAACGCAGATTCCCAGCCTCACGTACTCTTAGTGTTAACTGTCTTCTAAGTACTTCAATTTTCTCATCACTGTACCTTTTCTGACACTTCCCTTCCTGCACTGTCAATAATCCCAGCCTTCCTCTGTCACCAACTAAAGAGGACCATGCCATTCCCCAACAAATTCTTCTTTTCTGTCAGTCACTACAGCATTTTCCACTTCAATCACACATTTACAGCTTGATATTATTTTGGAGTTTGGCTTTATTTTTATGGATATAGCTCACCTCTATCACTAGTCATAAACTCCAGGAAGATAAATAGGAATAATTTCATCTGTTTTTACTACATCATGATGTCTTAGACATAATATGTGCTCATCATATAATACCTGATAGTTTATAATTCTTGAAGACAGAGTTTTAAAAAAAATATATTCAAAAAAATGCCATTTTCAGGGGAGAGTTGTTCCCAGAAATGGATTGCCACTGATGAAATAAGGTGGAAAGCACCACATACTGTTTCCCTCCGAGGAAGTTTCCAATGTATATTTCTACTTTCAACATTCTGAGAAGTTCCTCAGTTATGAGACCACCTTTAGTGTTTTTAACTCAGGACTTTTCATGTCCCCTACTTTTATAAGACTACTATAAATGTCCCCTACTCCTGTAAATGTTCCTTGTAAGATGTTGCTTTAGTGTTTTGAGCAAGAAATATGCTAGTAGTGTTCACAAATGTAGAAATTAAATTTTGATGACATGTGGGTTGGACACCTTCTTTGTCCTACCTGCTTCTGCCGTGGGGAATCACTGCCATTCACTGTCCTGGGGTGTATGAATGGGGGTGTGTGCAGTGTCAACTCAAACTGAACATGGACTGACCCTGAAAGAGACTCATGGGAGATAGTCTTTCAGCTTGATTATCTACCAGAATCTCTTCTCATACTTTGCTTGGAAAGGTTTATTTGTACCTCAAGGGCAATGAATGCAACCTCATTTACAAATATAAATGCAAATATCAGCCATAGTCTCTCTTCTCCTTCAAGCACTCTCCCTGACAGAGAGACTTGTTTTATTTACTTCCTTAGAAGAAGAATATTCATCTCTTTGGAGTCAGGCAGAACATGGCTAATGAGAAAACCAAAGTTCTGGACTCAAAGGGTATGGAAATGATTGCCATGCAGGCCTAGGTAGTCTTGAGCCCCTTATCGTCTGTAAGCCTCTGACTCCTCATCTGTGAGATGAGATGGGTCACCCTGCCTCTCAGAGCTGCTTAGAAGGCATCAGTAATACATGCTCAGCCCGAATAATATTTGTAAAACCCACAGCCTGGCACCAGGGCAGACTTGCTCAATAAGTTTGTCACCTGTGTTGTTGTTGTTGTTGTTTTTGTTTCAGACATATCATGACAAGAGAATGCAAAGTTGTAAAGTTCCTCAGATAAGGTTGCCTCTCTCCTATATAGCTTCCATTCTACATTTTATGTTGTTACAGTATTTAAAACAATAAATGATGTCACTTCTTTGTGTCCTCTGTTTTTTTGAAGAGATTATTAGTGATGGGAATAATAGGAATTAAATTTTTCTCTCTAAATAATTCTAATAATAGTATGTGACTAACCTTTTAGAGGTTTTAGAGAATTTTTTTTTAGGAATCATTATAGTATTTTGAACTAGGGAAAGAGTAAGTTAGAAATGACCCCAATTAGTGTTACCAACTATTCATTGGTAAGAAACCACCTTTCTTATTTTAAAGTTTCTGAAGCTTGTACTATTATAGATTGGAGGACTGCAAGTGGTTTTTATAGGAAGGCATTGTGTCCAGTGTGACACTGGTAATCCTCTTCATTTGGTGGATCTTAATGCCATAGTCTTGAATAGCTAGTTTTGGTTTAGTAATTCATTAAATTATTCAAAGAGGAAATCATTAATTTCTTAGGGGGAACTCTAGATTGCCTTTTAACTTTGTGTAAACACTTTATAAAAATTTTTGCTGCTAGCCCATTCCATTTTATTTTCAGATTATTTACCACCATGCACAAAAAGTACAAAACTGAGTAATAATCTTGCTTAAAATTTCTGTTTAAGAAGTAAAATCACCTGAAAGAAAGCTAGAATGATGAAATTCTTTATGCAGTTAGATTACAAGGTTTGAGATAGGTCACAAGGTTGTGATTTTCAGGCCACTCCAACCTTCACTTTGTAAAAATGTGTGTATTTGTTACATACAGCTATTGACATGTGAGTCATGGTTAGCTCCAGCCATCCATGGCTAAAGTCTTCCTAGAAGAAGCCATCTATATCCCTTTATAATCTAACCTCATAAAACATGGCAAATGGGAATTTTGCTGCAGTATCTACATTTCTAAGTGCCAAATTATCTCCTGGCATTTTCTTTTTACATGAACAGTATGAATAGCTGAAGAAACCACCTTTTTTATATTTTATTGATTTAGATACCAGCTGAAGTGCTATTTGAAATAATAGAAGAAGCCATGAACCTACATGTTCCTTGAATGGTCTTAATTATGGATTAATAAGCATCTGTCTTAATCTGATTGATTGCAGGAGAAGATGTATCAGGCAGTCTCTGCCCAGTGCCTCCTCCTCCTGAACGGGTTCCTTGTGAAATTCCCTGCCGAATGGATTGTGTGGTGAGCGAGTGGACATTGTGGTCATCTTGCTCCCAGTCCTGTTCAAATAAGAACTCTGACGGGAAACAGACAAGGTCAAGATATGTCCTAGCACTGGCTGGAGAAGGTGACAGAATTTTTTCAAATCTGGATTCAGTAGCTCAGTTCTAATAATATACTGCAGAAATAGCCACACATGGGTAATATCTTGGTCCTCTGACTCCAAATTAACAGTTTCGTGGAAATGCATAGTTATTTCTTTTTAATTTTCTAATTTATTTATGCTTGGTTTACGTAATCAGATGAATTCAATTGAATATTACTTTTTATTACACTTCTAAGAGAAGAAAGCAAAGTTTGATTGATGCACATCCAGTTTCTGTCTATGTGGCTGGATACGTAACTGGATATCTCTGGTAAAATGAGTTCCAAATTAGGAATCCGGAGACCCGACTTCTCGTCCAGGAGCTGCCAATACCATTGGCAAGTACCTGATCCGTGTGCCCTGATTTCCTGTTCTGTCACGCTGACATGCTGGGGGTGGGAAGAGAACAGGAAAGCTGTGAAAATGGCTTTGAAGAATGTAAAAAGTGCTATGGGAATGTGAACAGTGACATCAGAACAAATTAGAGAAGCAGCTGCTTCTATCATTTATAGCAATGGTCTCTGTCCCCAGATACATGCGCCATTGCTTTCATGTCTCCCTTTGGCTTCATCCGCTGTCAGGGCACTTGGAACAGCAAGACTGTAAGGCCACTGGCTGTGAGGAGCTCCTTCTTAAACAAGATCCTGCTCTGTGATCCTGGGAAATGGGGACAGGCTCAAGATGAAGGAAGATTTTCATATTCTTAGAGTGCAGTTATAGCTCTCACTTATCTTATATATTTCTGGAAATTGAAAAAAAAAACTCAGAAGTATTTAACTGGGAAAAAAGTAACAAAAATAACAGAATCAAGGTTATAGATCTTGGGCAATTAGCTAACTGAATTAAAATATGATAGAATGGAACAGTGGAAAAAGATAAATACTTTAGATAAATATCACTTTTTACATTGAAAAAGAGAGAGAAAAGTGGAATTTGACGATCTGATGCACACAAGAGTGTAAAGGTGCACATCCATCTGGTGTGGCTGCCAGAGGGCAGCACACTGTCAGATACAGTTTAGAGTTTAAGAATTAGCTCTCTCTTGCCAATCTTTGAAAGATGCTCATGGGTTTCTTAAATTGTAGCAAAATGTGTTTCTTGATGGAGGCTGAGTATCTTAAAACAGCTATTTTAGAAAAATAATACCTTTCTTAAGATATAGAGAACATGTGAGTGTGAATTTGTGCGTTTGTATGTGTGTCTGTATGTGTGTTCAACAAAATATTACTCCACGGTTGTGTGCTATTGTATCTAATGAATTTATATAGACAAAACAGTGTTGAACAAAAGGCAAATTTCTTTGCAGTTTAACTCAATGATGTGTGCTCCAGAGGTGAATAGGAGACTTAATTAATTTCATAATCTATTTGATGTGGACTACTGCTCATTATTTAGGAGAGAAGAGTGTAATATATTATCATGAATTTGTTACTCAGGACCGAATTCTTTGACCTTAGAGTAGGAAGAAAGGATTAGTGGTTTAGGTCTTGAGACCATTAAACAGGAAAAGCAACAGAACCAAGAACGACAATAACAGTACCATCAACAGTTATGTTTTCACTTTTTTCTTTTCTTTTTTTATGGCAGGTGGAAAACCATGTCCACCTAGTCAAGCTCTCCAAGAACATCGTTTATGCAATGACCATTCCTGTATGCAGCTTTACTGGGAGACAGCACCGTGGGGCCCCTGTTCTGAAAACACGTTGGTAACTGCCCTCAATGCAACCATTGGCTGGAATGGAGAAGCTACCTGTGGTGTAGGCATTCAGACGCGGAGGGTCTACTGCGTGAAGAGTCACGTGGGACAAGTGATGACCAGAAGGTATCATCAATCTCTTACTGAAAGTACAAACTATAATTACATAATTGTATGCTGTATTTGGAAATACTAACCAAGGAACTCATGTGCCCAGGTTTTTGCCAGAGTAAGAAGGGATTTTGTTGTTGTTGTTTGACCTTTTAAAGCCTAAAGTATATGACTCCAACAAAGATTACTGCACTGATAGATCATTGGTGCATTCATGATATTTTATTAGGTAGCGGATTAAAGTAAATAATGTTCTGAAACACTGAATGTATTTAAATAATCAAACAAAATTTCGCAGATCCAACCTCAATATTTTTGACAGCTTTTAAATCAGGAGAGATGAGGTTAATGTAAAAGTAGGTTTTGTGCTTTGGAGATTTGAGTTTTCCCCTGCTTTGGACTCCACCAATCTTTTCTACAAGGAACAGCACAATCTGGACAGCTATTCTGATTAGACTAATCTGTACCCTCAAGTTGGATGCACTTACATGCTTGCTATGTTCTCTGCACATGGAGATAAAAAACTTTCAAAGGCAGAAGGAAAAGATAGACATGGGAGCTAAGATACAGTTTTCAAAAAGTTTCAAGAATTTCAAGTGTTGGGATGAAAAGAGTAATTGACTGGAGACCTAGGTTGTGGGTGTTCCATCTTTAAACAAATCTTTTGGTAGGTCTAGCCGACAAGAATAGTAAAGAAGAAAATATATGACCTATTTCATACTCAAAGATGGAGAAGCTGGCTTATCCACGGAGATTTCCCTGTGGCCATATTTGGAGACCCTATCCTAGCCACAGAAACGGTGGGTCACCAGCATGGGGTGCTGAGAGCTTTGGTCCAGTGTTACAAGCTTGGCAATACAGTCCTTCCCTAGGAAATTTCCAGCTGGGAAATGAAGCTCTGTCTCCTTTGTATTTATGATGCTCTTAGAATATGAACTGAGAGTTGCCACAGCCATGATAAGGCTTGCTGGAAAAAGCAAGAGGAGAGAATAAAAGTGATGTTTAGAAAGAATCAGAAATATATGATTAACAAATTTTGGCAGCATTGAGCACTGTCCCCTGGTCTCCTAACAACACCCCTGCCCCTCCTGACAACATAGCAGATGCATTTACTCATTGCCTAATTCAGTTTGATTGTATTCCTGTCTATGGGCAACTCATACTCCAGGATAATATCACCCACAACACCATGGTGAAAGGGTTCAAGCCCTTCCACACTGCCATGGAGGCCCTTTTGGCTCTGTGTAAGGAAGGGCACTGAGCTGAATTAGTGCAAACTGGCCAGACTGCCCACTATTAATGTTTGAGCATCTGATGAGCATGTAGCCCTGCACACATCCTTAAAGCTGTGACTTCTGGTTATCCATAGCTATTTAGACCTAGCCCCTGTCTCTTCCTAAGCATGACTTCCATGGGGCTAGCTTTGAAGATTATTGTTGCAACCCCAACCTTTAGCATAGTGTCTGGTGTGTAGTTAGTGTTCCATAAATAATTCTGAAATTCATTAATTGACCTATATATCAGAAAGTGATAGAATATGTAAGGATTGGATATGAAGAACAGGAAACAAGGGAAGCTAATATTTATCCAAGAAAATATATTTTATACACCATATAAATTTGGTCAAAGGAGGCTGTCATCAAGAATAATGAAGAGGGCATACATGTGGCTTGCTCTTATTAACTCATAGATGGTATTTCTGCCCTAATGTCTAATTCTACATTGCCTATGATATTTGTGGAGGCATCAACTTATCAGTTGTATTTTTTAACTTGCCTTTTGGTCATAGCACCATGATGTATGGACTGGTGAATTAATTGAGCTATAGACAAACATGGACAGTGCTACATCAACTGATTCAAGTGATAATCTGATTCCTGGGGCTTCAGTGAAATCCTGAAAGGTTTTGATGATATTCATCATGGGAATTCCTTTTATCTGAGAAGAATTTCAGTCTTGAAAATTTTTACTTGCAAATGTTTTTTAAAGGTGCATGAAACATTATGATACATACATAAAAAATAATTATGCTTAGAGATAGAAGTAAACTCCATACAAAATGAGGTAAACTAATCCTTATAATAAGAAAATTTAGCATACTAAAATCTGATATCTCCTTCATAAAGTTTTTCAGCCTTGGACTACAACAGGAAAAGTCCACTTGACAGGAATGTAACTTGTTCATTTCTTAACAGAGGACATTAGTATTGAGACTGATATACATTGAATATTATCATATTTGAAAGGGCTATTTGGAAAGAACTAGTTGAACTCCAGTTCAAATAGTCCTTAAACTGAATCTAGCAATTACTTTGACAGTTTTTATAAAGGTATCTGAGCACATTAGTTTATTCAAATGTTAAAGACATTGTTTAATAAAAAGTTAGCCTTATCAATTTAAAGTTGAAAGTATAACCCATAAACTAATATGTATTTGTTTGAAAATTTACACATGTGAGACTAAAATATTATTACAGTGAATAAACTTCAGCTTGGTTACAGTTTTCTTTTTTTTTTTTTTTTTTGTTTTTGTCCGGTACCTGGAACCGAACTCACGACCTTGCGCTTGCCAGGCAGGTGCTTTTGCCGCTGAGCTAAATCCCCAGCCCCGGTTACAGTTTTCAATATAGAAAAATCACGGCACAGATGTTTCTCCAGCATACACACACACACACACACACACACACACACACACACACACACTGCTGGTGCTAATTGCTTTGTATGCTGTTAATGAGGCTGGAGATTTAGCAACCTAGTTTTAATTCTTACTGTATGTGTCCCAACAACACTGCTTAATATGAGCAGCCTACATTGACTCTAGTCAATTTACTTAATTAAAATTCTTTGAGGTTAATGAGATTAATTGAGCTAAGATCATAATACCCAATGTCCAGTGAAGTACCCAGTGAGATTATCAGCAGTAGAAAATTTCTTTATAAATATAATGTTCTTTTTCATATGAGAGCCTTTACACTAGAAATATATCACCTGTCACTTGTAAACTTCTTGGGGTAAGGGTAGGGGATAGACATAAAAAGGGAGGAGAATGTTTCCTAAAGAATACTTCCCTCGGAAAAGGAAGCATGTCTCTATGGAATGAATGAGCTAAAGTAATGTCTATTTCTAAACCCAGTGCACTGAGATGCACAGAGTTCTTGCACCCCTTGGTTGGCTCTTGGGTTTCCATACAATTGTGCAGGTGAGAATGTCCTATTTATGAGTAATAGAACTGATCAAATCAGAAAATAAGAACTAGCTAGGACACAACTGAACCCAGAAACTTTATAGGTTATTGCTGGGCTTTTGTTTGGTTTTGTTTCACTATCCAATGCTGTTTTTCTTTTCCAGTTGCAGTGTCGAAAAGAATAATAATAGCAAAGATTAAAAACACAATTCAAAGCCTTTCAAAGTTCTTGATAAGGCACTTTCTGCCTTCAGTGTGAAAACACCTGGCATTTTTGTGAAATATTGTAATGAACAGCTCCATTTAAACATGCAGTGTACAAAATGTTGGCAGCTTTGCCCCATCCAGTGAGTAAGATGAATTTGTCAGTTCCTCAGTCCGGTGAGTGATCCAGGAGATGGAGCGTTGTGTGTGCACCTTGATGACAGAGGCTCTGTGACAAATGGCAGGACTGTAGAGCTCTTATCTGATGCTTTGCAGCACAGTGCTTATACAGACAGAGCTGGAGCCTACAGGATGACCAAGAGACAGTGCATATAGAGCATTCCAGAAAATACAAGTAGTGCACGTCTAGAAACATGTACGTATTGCAATGAAATGCATTCACTCTTTATCAAGAGCAGCGCCATTCTAGGACCAGCGCATTTATTTAAAAATGAGAGTATAAATTATCACAAAAAGCAAGGAGCAATACATTGTTTACTAACTAAAAAAGTGAATCCATATGTTACCCTCAGTTTCAAGGCTGTATTTTTATTTCGGAAATAGCGGGAAAAATTAGTCAAACATCCCCTATGATTTGTTTTTGTCTTCAGTAGCACTTTATACTATACAATGATTCACTCACTGTCACTAAATATTTATGCTGAGCTAAGATCTGGTATTTTTAAAATACAAGATAGGATTTCACCATCAAGGCATTCAAATGATAGAGCAAATAAACCTTATATTGTTTGGATGCTGAGGACACATAGTTTGCTAGTAGACAATGATGACATTTCTGAACAATGATAGGTAATTTATGGAAATGGGAAATGTAGTGATAGATTGAAAGAGGAAGTTGAATGCCTGAGGAAAACGTAAGACTTACTGGCAAAAGAAATGAGCAAAAAGGCAGTTTTACAGCCAAAAGAATATTGGATCCTTCCCAGACCAGAGACCACCTGCATTTCCAGAAAAGTTCTCAGTTCATCACTTCTGTAAAAACACTGTAACCTAAGCCGACCCTGTCTCCCAGGGCAAGCCACTCTTTCTCCCGAATTTAAGGGAAGGCTGACAGAGAGAAACAGGGCCACCTTCTGAAAAGTCAGTATTACTTGCAGTGAGACTTCTTTGTGAATGATTTTAGTAAAGGGTCAATAGAGTAGACAATTTCCAGTTCCACGAAGATGAACAGACATTGCTAATTGAAGTGAAGAATAGCCCTGCAGTATAAGAATAGAAAGCTTGGCTTATCACATCCAGTGTTTCCACGCTATTTTGTGGATGTATGAGAGTATTTGGAGGGTTGACATGGACCACATAACCCATGATCCATACAGCACACAGGAATGCGCATGTCTTAGCTACTTTTCTCTTCTTGCTGAGACACAATACCCAACACCCACAGTTAAAGGGAAAGGTTTATTTAGCTCACAACTTGTGGAGGTTTCAGTCCTTTTTGGATTGGCTTCAAGGTAGGGTGGCACATGGCTGAGGATCAATAGTTCATGGCAGTGGAAGACAACAAATGCAATGAGAGAGGGAGAGAGAGAGAGAGAGAGAGAGAGAGAGAGAGAGAGAGCAAGTCTTTTTCTGTCCACTATATTGTATTCAGTCTACTGGGATTAGGGCAGTGTCAATCAGTGCGAGTGACCCAACCATCACCTACCCTTAATCCCAGCTCCTTTAGTCCTAGCATTGCACCAGGAATCAATCACACCTCCGGGATTCAGCCACCTCCAAAGAAAAAACCCCGTCACCCCATGAGACTTTGAGGGGACAACTAGATAGGTGTTACTTTTTTACTTCTAGCCATATACCAGGAGAGATTGGAGAGGTGTTAGTATAATTGGCAGATCAATTTATTTTTATTAGACTTCAAGGTAAGAATAAAGGACTTGGAAATGATTTCAGTGCTTTTTGCTATCTGGACTAAGTTAAGATATAAATTTTCTTTACCAGAAGAGCTTGTTTAAGTGACACTGTAACCTCACAACAACACTGTTCCTTCTATTCTTATACTCTTCAAATGAATCTATTCAGTAGATTGTGTGTGTGTGTGTGTGTGTGTGTGTGTGTATTTGTAAGGATGGTAAATGATAATCCTACTAACAAGGATTTATGGAGCATATTTCCTGTGGATATATACATTTTTCGTATTAATCTATTTTAACAAAGTATCACGTATTCCATGGGAGGAATAAAATAGTATAGAGGAACTGATGAAGAAAAGCCTACGCTCCACCGTAACAATGTAAAGCTGAAGAGTGACCCACCCTTCTTCCAGCCACCCTTTCCCTCCTGTCCTGCCATTGGCACTGCTCTGTGTATCCTCTGTATTATACTGTGTCTTTATGCACACATAAACATGAATATATCTTCTTAGTCTCCCTTCATTTTCTGTTGCTTGTCTCCTAACTCTGCAGAATATATGTTCATAAATTATTCATGCTGTCTCTTCATGCATCAAGTTAAAATGCTCATCCTTTGATTAACAGTGAACTTAGGCTCCTGCCCACTCACTTCCCTCCTGACTTCCTTCATGATGCAGCCTTCTGTTGGTGGGTGCACTACTACTTTTGCTTAATATTGCATCCTTAGAACCTTTGTCTTAGGCATTTCAGGCTGCTATACTAAAAATGCCCTACAATGAGTGGCTTAAACAGCTATCATACACTTCGCACAGTTTGGGAAGCTGGAAGTCTTTGTAAGTCACAGCCTGAACATGTCCTAGTGATGGCTGTCTTACCGTTTGCAAATGACCTTCTCCCCAAATATGGTCATTAAACTAATTATTAGCATAATATCCAAATTGTTTTGTTTCTTTTGTAAATGTTAGTTGGCAATTTGTTATTTGCAGTCACTTGCACTTTATTTATTCTTCCTCATCAGTCCATATATTCTACAGAAAAATATCATTGGTTAAATATCCTAGATTTTGAGTGCTTGAGATGCATAATATTTTAAATCATCTTTGATGATTTTTCTCTGTTTCCTTTTGTAGGATGTCTACCATTTGATATATTAACTTCAATAAACTTTTAAAAAATGTTTCTAATTTGCTTCTTTGGAAAACTCAAATATTTCTTGAAATGATACTGATGGTTAGGTATTTGTTTGACATTAGTTTCAGGGATTTTTATTCTTCTTCAGCCTAGCTTAGTCATAAGTATTTTGGTTACTGGGTTAGGAGAACTGAGATCTGCTGTGAGCACTTGAACAAGTAGCTTCACCTCTTGGGTTCTTTCCTTCTTCATCCATAAAAACAGCATTACGTCCTTAATATTTTCTGTTCTAAAGTCCTGTGGTTCCGTGTTAAATTGCCTGTTCTCCCCACGGTCTCTTCATGTTGACAGATGTCCAGATTCTACTCGGCCTGACACTGTGCGCCCCTGTTTCCTCCCGTGCAAGAAGGACTGTGTGGTGACGGCCTTCAGCGAGTGGACACCCTGCCCCCAGCTGTGTCAGCCAGGTAAGCGGGGCCTGCTTCTTAGTGTTTTCTTTCTAAACTGTCGGATTTTTGTTCTGCTAAATAAGTCAGAGATTGTAGACTATGAACACCCTGCTTTTTTATTTTCATGGTAGGCATAAGGTTAGTAAAGTATATGAATCAATTCTTCTATTTACAAATTCTTGAGAACTTGGAAAGGAAAACACATTCAGGTATGATATGTCATAGTTTCACGGGTACTTATTCCAACAGTATTCATCACCTACTGACCTTTTATGGCATTTTGTGCATCCATTATACAGGGATTTCTAAAGCATCGTTACCTTCCCAATTTTCTATGTGGGTCCTATGTTGTTGGACCCAGTCCTATGACCTCTGTTTGAGTACAGGGCCAAAACACTGATTTCATCATACATAACCTAGTGGGGAAATAATAACAAATGTTAAAAAGTTTTAAACAAGTACAGATATTGAAAACACAGTTTTAAATTTCCCTATTTGTAATGGTGGTGCTTTATATACCTGGGTATATTTAAAGAGGTATTACCCAGGATACTTAATACCCAAATCCTAGGGAAATATACTGGGGTGAAGTGACCCTCTTTCTTAGAGAAATCTTTCCTCCATAATGTATTGCTATATTTCCCAGTGAGCTATTCTGCGTGGAAATAAAAGTATCCTTAGTCCTGAAGCTCCTTTATGCCTATGATCTGAAGTCCCTTTACTCTAGTATTGTCCCCCTCATATTTTATCCCTGCTACAGTAGGGAAAAGCAAATACAAGAAAAAGAAGGACAGAAATCAGTTCACTTGTTGGCCTTTTCTTGGCAGTCATGTCCTGTGAAGCAGGACAGGGCTCTCAGGATTGCCTTGGCCTCCTGGAAGAAGGGAGAATGAAAAATGCTGTTGTGAGAGGAAGACATCAGAGGTTGAGAGCATTAACACTCTCCTTAGAAAATCCTGGTCCTGTGTGTCTGGAATGCCCCTAAAGCTCTTTGACTCATACGTTTACACCAGTGCTTCATGAAGTCAACATGAAAATATGGCCAATATTGGCTCAGGATTGAGTGCTTGTATGATGTTTTATATCTGTACTATTTCATCTTCTTAGCATTCCTTTGCTGTAGGATCAATATGGTAGCATCCAGTCAGCTTTGTTTATATATAGAATCAGAAATAAATACACTAAATAAGAAAGAATTATGAAAATAAGTTGAGATATTTATCTGATCTTTTGAGGAGTAAGGATAAACAGAGTGTCTTCTGTAAACTCTCCCCAGTGAACACTGTCTGTCTGTCTGTCTTTGTTTTTATAGAGATAGAGGGCCTTGCACTGAGCCACACCTCAGCTTTTTTTTTTTTTTTAATTTCGGGACAAGTTCTCATTAAGTCACTAAGTTGCTGAGGGTGGGGTTGAGCTTGCATTTCTCCTTCCTCAGCTTCTCAGAGTGCTAGGAATATAAGCATGCACCATTACCCGCCCCCTTCCTGATTAAAGATCCAAAGTAGATGAACTGGATAAAAATGGTTTGTTGGCAGCCTGGTGAGTGTCATTTCTGGATAAGATGGGACAGAAAAGCTACTGACTCTATTCTGAACCATTTTAAAAGTAGCCATTAGGGGGTTGACTCTGGGAATTTTAATGGTAATGTACCTGAAAATGTTTCAGGTCCTTAAAGATCAATACTGGTTAAATGCAAGGAAATAACATAGTGCACAGCGATGGAGTTTACTGAGGTTCAGCTCCTTCTTTTAGTGTTTTTCTCACGAGAAGTTAGCATAATTACTCCATTAAAGGGTTATAAGGTACAAAAGGGGTGAATTGGAGAGAATACTGTGCTTGTACCCTAAACTTGTTGAGGCTGTCAAAGTCTTCTGACACTTGGAGAGCAGAGTAGGTCTGTTGAGCTAGAGATTATTCCAGCCACTCCTATTTCATACATTCAACATTGAAAAGAACTCCTTCTGCAGCCTGGGAGTCTTCTTCTAACTTTGGCTAGGGGTAGAGGAATCACAGGATGTAAAATAACTTTTCTTCAAGCAACTTTAAATTTTACTTCAGTTTCCCGAGATTCAATTAGTTGTTTAAATGGTTGTCATTGTAATGAAAATAGCATTAAGCCTCTGTGGTGCCTCCAACTTTTCAAGCCTAGATAATTCTTTTCACAGCTTGGCAGCCAGGGACCTGGAGGAGCAAAGATTCAATTTTCAGATTTCTTCCAGCTTGCTACTTCAGTCCTGTTTACCCTGTGCTTAGTCCATACCTTGGGACCACGATATCATTAAATAACTGTGGATTAATTAAGAAACATGACCAGAGGGGAAGAATTCTGGAGGAAATGGTACTTCTAAATATATGGTTCTTAAACTTTCTTGCATCTGAAGCACCTGGATATGTTATCCAAAAGCATATTTCCAGTTCTATGACTAAAAGTTTAATTCAATAACTATGAGCTAGGTACCTAAAATTAAGAAGCCATAATCTCTGAATGGTGACCCCCTTTCCCCCATTCTAGGCAAAATGGCATAAATACACTAGCTAGCCCTGATGTACCCTTAGGCACATGGACCTTCTTTCAGATCTTCGACTGTTCCTTCCAGTTTAAGAGGCTGTAGACCAGAGCTGAAGAGTAGATGCTGTGTTTCCACAAGGCTGTAGTTTGATTTCCAAGTTTTCTGTGTCACAAATATGTTATTGTCTCTTCTGCCTCAGTTTCCTCACTTATAAAACGAGGTTCATAATTATACAGTCCTATGAGGTGAACACTTCTACCACTGCCTGGCAGAGTAGACATAGTCACTCGTCTACTTTGTGTGGGGCTGACACACACACCCTTCAGCTGCATTTCCAGACCCTGGTCTGCCTTTCCCTGAAATACTGATCTCATCTCCCAGGCTGCCTGGATAGCCTATGAAACAGATTATCTCACAACATTTTACATATCCCCTTATTAATTCACCATTCTTATCTTTCTTTGCTAATCCCTATTAGACAGTAAACTCATGAAAGAAATGTAGGAATTGTGTTTACTGCTGGATCCTTTAAAACACCAAGCATAGTATGGACGTATACTTGTCACTTAATAAACGTGCTTTGAATATACAGCCATTCTGACAAGACATAGAAAATTGTGAGTTTGAATCTAGGCGTGGATTTTCCATCCTTGAAAGTGCCCTCCAACAAGTATCTTGGGGAATCATGGTGCTCTAAGAAAACACTTCTCATATTTTCTGTGTCTACAAATCCCCAAGGGATCTTATTAACTACAGATTTCCCTCTGTAGCCCTAGAAGAAGCTAGGGATCATACCTTTGCATATGCTTTCACATGACTTTGAGTACAAAGCTTGAGGTGAAGTAGGGTTCATTAGAAATTTCTGAGCAAGGAATTGTCACTGTCAAAGCTGTAAAATGAGAGGTATGGGCCCGGAACATATCAGCAAGTGAGGACATAGGTAGAAAGGTAGTTGGGTAGAAAAGAGTGGTTTAATCTAAACTGAGTAATCAAGAAATGGGTCTCAGGAGGAAGATGGGCCTGAGTAAGTTGTACCTTTGACTAGTGAGGACAGAGGACCTTCTTTACCTGCTGTGGTTTCAGATTGGTTATGCAGGTGCTCTGCAAAATTGACAGCACCATGGAATCACCTAGGGATCTCTAAAAATCACTGAAGCCCAAGTGCTACTCTCAGGCATTCTGACTTAATAGATTTGTGGGAAAATTGGGAAACTGATGAATAATGTGAATTCTGAACCAAATCCATTCTAAACCTCTTAGAGAACCCAGGTGATTCTAGAGGACCAAGTTTATCAGCAGTGATTTGTGTTTTAGCAACAGATGAGCTGTGTTTGGTTTCATTTTGTCCTGGCTGGGTTTATGAGCTAATACCTTAAGACTTAAAGGCATTTTCAAGACATGAACAATCACTGGCTAGAAGCCAAACCGTGTTTTTTTTTTTTTTTTTTTTTTTCCTTATCCTTCCTTATCTGAGTCTTTCCTTGCAGGATTAATAATAGTCACACATTCGTCTAAACAAACTACAGGTCTGTCAAGTTTTGACCCTGCTGTGGCCTCTGTAATTTTTAAGTCCTCATTGCAAATTAATTGAATGATTAAGAATCATTTCATGGACCTTTTAATTTTTTAATTTTTTTTTCTATTTTTTTCCTGTTCTTTCTTCAGCCTATACAGCAAATCCCTGCCTGAAGCTTCCAATGTTCTTTTCTTAATAATATCACCAGCTTCTTGCTACAGTATTTCTCAGCCCTATGGGGATTTTTTTCAGCGCCTAGATGTCTGAGAATCAACTCATCCCTCCTCAGATAGACTCTCTTCAGGTTGAAAGGAAATCTGCAATACTAAACCTCTTCATAGGTGACTGCTATAAGTGGTAAAAATGAAGAACACTCGTATAGACTGAATATTTTAGAACATGATTTCATATACCTTTTAACCTACTATAGGAGATCATTGCTAGTTGTTTTAGGATAATGTTGCAAATTATCTCAGTCACTGCTGCTGTTACTCTTATATTTCATAGTTTTACTTGAAGGCTGTAAATCAATACTGGTTTTTTTCTAGATTTCTAGCAAGATATATTTTAAGGACTCTAAAAGTTCAGCATTTCTTTTTTTTTTTTGGTTTTTCTCCGGTACCGGGAACCGAACTCACGACCTTGCGCTTGCCAGGCAGGCGCTTTGCCGCTGAGCTAAATCCCCAGCCCAAGCATTTCTTAATATATGAAATTTCAAATGTATACATCATTTAATGCAGAATTAAAAACAAAGTATTAAAAACAAATATATTTTGTGTATGATAATAGCACAGCACACATATCAGCTCATGGACATTCTTAGTTTGTCTACATTACCCAATTCCCCCCTTATTCCAACAGACTGATCAAATAATTCTCAGATAGTTTACCACTTATGGAAAGCAGGTATATGGAAGAGGTAAAGTTGTCAGCCTGGAAAATAAAATATGGCGCATGTAAAATCTTGATTTCTATAAATTTTTAAAAACTAT